AATTATATTTAAGATAATTAGTATAAAATAATAAAATATCTCTTTTATTTTAATTTGGTTTTATTTAATAACTTTTAATTTAATTAATATTTACTTTTTAATTTAATTAATATTTATTTATTAATTTAATTACTTTATCTTTAAGTTAGTGAGTTAATTAAGTTATTAATTTAATTTAATTAATTTAGTTTAAGTTTACCTATTAATTAAATTATTAAGTTTTACTTAGCCTGCTAATTAAATCAATTAAATTTGAGTTAGTGGTTTTAATAACTTAATTAAGTTAAGTTAAGAACTAAATTTAATTGGGTTTAAGTTAATTTACTTAAGTTAACTGCCAGTTAACTTAATGCTAACCCTAATAATAATAAAATTAAATAGTATTAATAATAAATATTATTGTATTTATTTGCCGTTTAGCCAAGTTTTCGTTATAAATTCCCGTAAATTAATATAATTTAAGCGGATTTTAATCGGGTATTTTGCCTTTTATAAATATTATTTTTAATATTTAAAATAATTTACGATTATAAGCATTTCCTTATTTTTAATATTATAGCTTTTTTTATTTCCGGCTTATTATCGGGAATAAAACGCTATTAAATATTATATATTATTAGGGTAGGTAAAATTAGTTTGAGTTTTGAGTTTGAGTTTAATTAACTTAATTAAGTTGAGTTTTATTCAGGGTGCTAATTAAATCAATTAAGTTTGAGTTAATTTATTTGAGTTAACTGCTAGTTAACTTAATGCTAACCTTGTATATTATTATTATTTAATTAGAATAAAATTCCGCTTAAAATAAATATAAAAGCGTTTATTTTTAACCGTATATATTTTTTAAGATTAAAATAAATTAATAAAAGCGTTATAACGATAATGCCTTCCCGGACCACATTGCCGGCTGTCACCACTATATAACCGGTCCGTATATACGTAGCTTAGTTAGTCAGCTTTCAACTTTAATATCAACCCCCCGTATATTGCCGCACCTCACCTATATAATTACCTTATCGCTAATATATCGTTATTTATTTAATTATGTTATTTTATATTATTATAATTTTAAAAGCTTTTTTTATAAATGGCCTGCGGTATCGTTTTTCCCGTTTATATCGTTATCCCCGTCCCCGTCGTTTTTTAGCGTATAAAATAGCATATTCGCAAAATTCGCATATTACGCGTAATGCTATTGCAGCTATATTTGACCTAGCCGGTACCGATACCGATACGGCTGTAATCGAATAGCAGCTTACGGAAAAATAATAATTTAACCCTTTTGTCGTTATTAAGCAGTAGCTAGAAAAATTTTAAAAGCAAATCGAAAAGGCCGAATAATTAGCTATGTTAAAAAAAAAGCTTTACTAGCTTTAATAGCAAAATAATAAAAACGCAGCTTTTTCGTTATTTCGTCGCCGCCGTTGCGACGATAATTCCGGGTTGGAACGCGAGCGCGATTATAACGTTAATTTAGAGAAATTAATCGGGGTATTTATACTAAAAATTTTTTTTAAATAATAAAATAAATAGCTCGCCGACCTCCGCCGTATTTTTAATAATGCTTTAAAAAAATATAAATAATTATGCCGCCGTATTAATTTAGTTATTTCGAAAATAGATTTTTAATGCCGATTTTTATAAAATTAAAAAATTTAACGCCTCGAAAACGACGATTTAGCGCTAGCTAAACGCATCGTTAGCGATTAAGCTATATTTTCTAAATAAATTATTAGCCTAATTCGCGATATTAAATATTATAAAGCTGCGATTATAAAATTATTTAAAGCTATATAATAAAATTTAAAATAGCACTTTAAAGATTTTAATAATTACTTTTAATTTTTAAAAAATTAAAATAACGATTAACGCATTAATGCAATTAATACGCGCTATTTTTACGTAAAGCTAACGGAACGGTTAAGAAATAAATTAAAAACGCAATTTACGATATTGCCTATTATATATAAGGGTATAATCGGGACGGCTATTAAATTATAAGAATTATTTAATTTAGCGCTTATTATAAAATCCCGACGCGATCGCCACCGGATCGATTATGCCGCGCCGTAGGAACGTACGGATTATATTATTATAAAACTAGTATAATTAACTTTATCGCTAGCTTCGATATTTTTTACGTTTATTATTATAGCACTAAATTTAATTCGGGTTTAGCCACCTTTGGCTACGACGATTATTACTAAGGATCTTAAGCTATTAACCTTTTTATCCGACGGCACGCGCCGTAATAAAAAAGGGAAGATTATGCTTTGCCGTAAATATAATAATATTATATACTAAAAATTAGAATGCCTTAATAGCAATAAAAGCAATTCGTCGTCGTATCGCTTAGATAACGCTAAATCGTCGTAATAGCATTATAAAGGTTTTCGTCCTATTAAATTTTTCCCTTTATACGGCTAATATTAATAAATATATATTAATAGTCTATTTATTATAATCCTATATAGTCGTCGTTTATAATTTTATATTATCGTTATATATGGTTTTATATAATTATATGGTCTTATTTTCCGTTATTTAATTATAAATTATCGTATCGGCAGTGGTCCGCCGGTGTATTTATAATGGTTTATCGTTTATTCCCTAATTCCGTCGTTAATTTATTCCTAATCTATTCGTTAATCCCGTCGTTAATCTATTCCTAGTTTATTCGTTAATCCCGTTATCCGTTAATTTATAATCCTGTTAATTTATTAAATGTTGCACGGATGTTAATACAGCATCGTATAGTGCATAAAATTAGCTTTATAACGCATATCATATCGTTATAACAGCTATAAAACCCATCGAGATATCGTTAAATAACGATATATGGGAAATCAGTGGAACTTACCCTGTACTGACCTACAGTCAGTACAGCACCACTTACAGCCACTGTTCACAGTGCTGTACAGTCAACAAGTCAGTACAGTTGACTGTTGTGGCCACTATGGCCACTGGAACCCACTGGAATCCAGTGGAACGTTCCACTGGATCCAGCCCCACTAAGTGTGGCCAGTGCACCTGGCCACAGTGGCCCTGGGTTACAGGGTAACCCACACCATAGAAATCCATAGATTTCGATGGTTTCTTCGATTATAAATCAACCTTATTACTAATTAACTTGATTATAAATCCAGTTTATTAGTAATATATTCCAGAATGTTCTTAATGGTTGATTTTATGGGTATAAAAGGTAGTTATTCCTCCGTAGTTAGTTATTCTTTCCTTAAGCTTCAATAAATCAGTTATACAGCCCTATAACTACCCTCCACGGCCTGATTCTACGAATCATATGAACGCTTCCCTGTGCCTAAGTTTATAATCCACCAATCATACCTTAAAACATTAAATCCGTTAATTAAGGGTGGTTCCTAATGCGGGATATTACTTATAATAATTAATATTTTTAATCACTTATCCAATCCTAATATAGCGTATCCTAACTAAATCGCAATAAAATCGCCGTCGGGGAATTAATCGTATATAGTTAATTATATAATTAAATAATCGTCGTAATATATAGCCTAGCGTAGCAGCTAAATGCCTTTAGCAACCCGTTAAAATCGGATAAATCTAGTGCGCGGCTAATACCGTAATTATTATCGCATTAACAAAAGCCGTAATCCGGGTTAAGGCCTTAATTTTAAGGGAACGCTAGCTTTAGGGTCGAAGCACCGCTTAAAAAAAGGGGATAATTATAACGATAATGCCCTCCCGGACCACGTTGCCGGCTGTTACCACTATATAACCGGTCCGTATATACGTAGCTTAATTAATTAGCTTTTAATTTTAATATTAACCCCCCGTATATTACCGCACCTTATTTATATAGTCACCTTATCGCTAATATATCGTTACTTATTTAATTGTGTTATTTTGTATTATTATAATAATATTATAAAATTATTAATAATTATTTATTTAATTATTAAATTAAATTACGCTTAATAAACAAATAAAAATTAAATAAAAATTAAAAATAAATTTATTAAAAACAAATTAATAATCTTTAATATCTTATATAATTATATTAAATTAATATTATTTACGAGCTAAATGGGCTGTTTTGGTCACACCATCCATTAACAGGCTATTATTTATATTAGCAGTGAATCGTATATAAAATAATGACGCAGCACTTACCAAACAACTAAGATACTTGCACCAACTGCAAGTATTTTGATATGTGTAAAAGTTGTTCAAGAGCACAATAAAGACGACAATAATGCCGACAAGGAAGCCAGCTCGAACCAGCCACCAAGCCCACCACAGGCCTTTTCTTCCCTTGAAGAAGCCGACCGGATTCCTGAGGAATGGGGGAAAGGCGACACTGGAAATGCCATTATTGTGGGAACTCACAGTAGAATATGACGGTCCGGTGAAGTGGTCCTCGCCAATCTTCCTACGAAGAAAGTTTGGCGAGTGAAGCACACATATTCCAAGACACAAGCCCATGAGAAATCCACCTATGTGAGAAAAGTTGTCCAGACCTGGCAGGAGTCCCAGGACAAAGGATATGACTATCTCCAGCAGGATGAACATGAGCTCGCGGACAGGGTTGTGCCTCTCCTTCCATGAGTAAAGCAGGTCCAGTAGGGTCAGAGCAATAATGCCAAACAATGCGCCTGACGCGCCAGTGGAGGAGATGTTCAGTGCCGCAAAATTGCCACCCATGACAAAGCCAAAGATGCCTGAGCTCATGTAAACGAGAAAGAAGCGGATTGAACCTATGGCGCGTTCGATTTCCTTGCCCAGGGTCAGCTGCAGCAGCAGGTTGAATCCGATGTGCACAATGCCGGCATGGAGGAAAATGGGCACAATAAAGCGCCACCACTGGTTCGGATAGGGAGCCTCGTTGAAGGGGACTGTAGCGTTGGCAGTGGGTGGGTTTGGAACGCCTCCAAAGCCGCAAAGTTGAGAGAGTGTACATTGGTTGTCAGAGGAATCTGCATCATTCGTTGTACTCCAGGGACATGGCCAATTGATGGTGCCCTGGCCATCATAGTTTGTGACATTCTGCACACGGTGCATGCAAATGACATATCTCGAACCCATATTGATGAGGACGTATGACGAGGGCCCGATCATGGGGTTGAAGGATGGCTGCGTTTGGATCGGGCTGCCGGTCAATTGGGCTGTTGGATTTCCAAGGTTGGGTTAGCAGGGAGGACATATATCGGCAAGAGGGAACTGTATTGACAATTCAGGAGAGGGGAGATGGGAGAAGACGAGAGACTCACCCGCCTTGACCAGCTCGCCAATGAAGACACCAATCTGGACAATGGAGAACAGATAGACAAATATGGGAATCCTCCTCTTGCCAGAACCCAGCATACCCAACTCGCCGAAGCGAATCCTTCCTCTACCGGCGGATCGTTCAGCGGGAGGCAAGCGGCCATCGGCGGCGGTATCGTATACGTGGTCGGTTGAGTCCATGGCATAACCTGGGGTACCCATCTTGTTGTTGCTGCTATTGGTGGCATCGGGATGCTGTCGCAGCGGGATGTCATCACCAACGGGAGACACTTCGCCCGCTGCAGGACTGTGGTACCTCGTGTCTTGGGCAAAACTATGTTGGCTACTCATGGCGTCGGCCGCAGAGTGGGAGCCGGTGGGATAGACGTGATCATCAAAGGGAGTCTGGAAGGGAGAAACGGTAGGCTGGCGGTCCGGATGTGCATGTGGCGCATCGGTGGTGTAGGAGGGCGGGTATACGGAGGAAGCTGGGGTGGCAGTCCCGTGATGGCGAAGGTCGTCGTTGTCGTCGTATGTATTGTAGTATTGTGGCTGCGACGGCCGGGTATTGTAATAGTCGTTTGCTGCCATGGCGGAAGGAGGAGCAACAGAGCGGGAAGGGCTAGAAGAAAAAAACAAAAGAAGTGCGCGTTACGTTGTTGGTTGGCTGAGGTGCCTTGCTTGTTCTGCCCGTCTCCTTGCGGCGGCTCTCTCTCTCTCTCTCTCTCTCTCTCTCTCTCTAATTTCCCGAGAACTCGCTTGATGGACTCGATTGGGTCGCCCTTTTTTTTTTCCCTCTCAGCGCGGCTCGATCCTGCTGTCAATCGCCGTTGTCCCGGGGAGGGGGGGGGGTGTTGTAATTGCGGGCGGCAGCTGCGGTATCAAAAGAAGAATTTCTCTGGCCAGCCAGTAGCGAATGCAGCTCTACTCTGTACACAGCGCTGTGTAGAGATTTCCAGGGTCCTACTATGTGTGCAAGGTTGGCGGCCACGATTGACTTTTGATGCAGAGCTGGCCCCGTTGTTGAAGAACGACGGCAGGAGTACGTACGGGATAAGTTCCTTGCGGCTTGCCCTGTCAGCCAAGGGAGAGGAAAAATACAAAACAACACTTCCAACCCAACGACAGGAAAAGACGAGACTGCGTGCAACCCGTCGCGAACCACAAGTGATCAGCAATATTGTCAGAAACAGTTTGAAAGAGAAACGATTTGGCCGCGACGTTTTTGTAGCAGGTGGGATTGCGCTTTCTAATGTTGAAACGGGGGAAAGAAAAGGAATGAAGAATGTCCAGCCAAGTTTGAGGTTGAACCCCGAAAACTCGCGAACCGGCTAGCGAGTGCACTTCGTACCTTGGGTACCGCCTAGTCATGGTTAACAGGTAGTACCCACCCACATCAATTCAAGTTGAACTACGTTGGACAGCACTGAAGCTGGGAGGGGGGGGGGGGGGGGCACTGAAAAGGCCACTGAGTTGACTACTAGGGGCATTACCCGCAGGTACGTACTGTTATTGTTTGCCCTCAATGGTTCAATGTTGCTTTCTTTCTTTCTTTCTTTCTTGCCTTCCCTCCCTCCCGCTCTGTGCTAAAGCAACAGGTGAGAACGTGGAGTGTGTAGCTAAAATTAGCTGGAAAGCGGCTTGGTAGCCGCTACGTGGTTTAAACTTCACCTATACATCACACAAATACATAATCCCGTTGTTGACGAATTGGTACTGGCCTGGTTATACTATAAAGGGATGGTTGAAATGTATCTACCCTTTCTCTACATGCCCGCAATAGTAGGAAGCACTCATGATCAATGTAGCCAGTACCTAGTTGGTTTTGCGAATCAACCCCTTCATTATCAACAATTGAAATCGTGTTGTCATGGCCTGTCAGCTCGTCGTTGCTTGCAGAGACTCACAGCCCCCCATCCCCTAGCTCGCCGCAGTCTACACCAGGTCAAAGTCGCGTCCGCCTCCCCAACGGCGCCGACTAATGCCGAGACTCGTATGCGCAGAAGTATTTTTCGCCGTTTTAAGTATCGTGGTGCAGACAGAATCGACTATGGTTTTTTTTTTTTTTTCCAGTCATGGTTGGCAGAATCTTTTGAGCAATTTGCGGTACTCGATTGGAAAAAACAAGCATATGTATCTCCAGCGCCGTTGTCCTTCAGCTGACCCTGGACAAACAAGTACATACGAAACACAAATCCTGCACACAATATGTACTACAATTTTTCGGAAATATCTAAGGCCAACGCGCGCGCGCTTTTGGGTGTGGTCACGGCATTGCGGCAGTGCTGTGATCTACTGACCTACCTACGAAATACTTGAACCTACTGGCAACTTGCACTGACAGTGTGCCATGGATGATGGTGCACCTCCTCGTCTTCTGTGGGCGCATGTAAAAACTCGCCTTCAGCAGCAGTCGCTTGTGGAGCCAAATAAACGTTGCAATGTTCTGTCTGTATCGACTGCCGATCCCCAGTATTGATCAGCAGCGTACAAGTCACAGCACACACGCCAAGCCCGCCGTGTTCGTCATGCTTGAGCCACGACAAACATCATTTGCTCCACCTCCGAGCCTGTAAAGAACCTCGCTCCAAAAGTTGTGTGCCCTGGTCCAACACAACAGCACGAAATAAGGACACGCACACACTACATGAACAGTGGTCAGCAAAATGGTAGTAGGTAAGCCTTGCCGCCCCAGCCAGTCCGCCTCTTGCTGGAGAAGCCCCTTTCAAGTCTAGATGGTCTAGGTAGGGCAATTACTGGTGTTTACTTGATTGATGACTAGAAAGTTTCCAACTCTGGTGTGCTGCTGAGCTTTTCATGGTGGTATACTACTGGGTATATGTATAGTACACTACTACGGAATAGTCGACGGTCGGTATGGACACGCAATCGCGGCATTAAATGGCCCCAGCGTTACCCAAGAATGAGGCTGCTGAGCTGGGGCTATGCTGCCGCAGCTTGCGTGTTCGCTTGCACCAAGCCACCTCTTTCAGCTGCGCTTGCACACTCGACGCGTCGAGTCTGGCCCATATGTGGACACACGCACTTTGGTACCACGACGCGACAGTGAATCAAGACATGCCATTATTGGTACAATTCCGCTTGTCAGGTGGAATAGCCATTGTCGTAGACGGCGTCGCTTCTTGGAAGGAAGAAGGATCTCAGCACCCATCATGCGTTCGTTGCCTGTGCCACTTAGTGGCCACTGTATTATTGTCTTTTATGCGCTTCTCTATACCAAACCCAGATTCACAGCATGGTTATTAGCTTTCGCGGTACATTGGCCCTGGCCTATGTCGCTGCAAACCTGCTTTTGTCTCTCAGTCGCCTGCCAGCACGGAAGAAGAGCCAAGGGAATGGCACCATCGCCAGCGTGAGGAATGCAAGAAGACTGGACCCCCACTGGTACCCGAGCTTCTGATACATCTGCAGCCCGAATAGTGGAAACGCGGCTATGGTCGAAAATATTCACATATCAGCCGTAATGACTCATCTCCAACGACAGTTTGGGGGTCAGTCGAAGGGGAAGGGTACGGGGACGGGGTGGCTCAGTGTTACTCGTCACTCACTCACCTGCAAATGCACACCTTGCGAACGCGTTAGCCGCGAGGGCTGACGCTGCATAGAGCGGGTATGCATCGACCAGAAATGTGAATATGCCAGTAAAGACCAGCAACGTCCTAGACGATGGAAAAGAGAGGGCAGAGAGTCAATACACGATGTCACGGAGTTTTCGGGTACGCCAAGGAGGCTACGACTCACCCCATTCCGAACACTGCGGACCCAATGATGGGCACAATCCAATGAACCCAGGGGTAGGCCGACCAGGCAAACCAGAACAGCCCGACTGGCACCAGGAAGGCGCCCGCCACAGCCGATGGGAGTCGGAACTCGGGTTCTGAGACGCCGCCATTCTCAGCGACCAGTTTGTTGTGCACCCGGTGCCAGATGGGATTCGTGGCCGACGCAGCAAGCATGCCTACCATGATTCCCAAGAACGACACACCTGTCTGCCACAGGTTGAAGCCATACACGTTGCCGAATATGAGGCCGAAGGCGCCAAAAAAGAGGTATAGTATGCCGAGCAGGATGGCCGAGAAGAGGCAAAGTACGAGACACACTGCCGGAGTCTGTGTTAGCTGGCTTTCGGGGAAACCTCTTTGCTTTGGCCATCTACGACCATCTCGAGCGAACTATGGGTGACATCGAAATTTGCTTACTGGGCTCAAACAACAATAGTTGGAACGGTCTCAGAAGAGAGTTGGCGAGAGAGTTGGCGACGGATTTATTCTGCCTCTCCATCGGGGCTTTCCAGCGATCGTCTCCGGTCTCGTTCCGGAGCGCGCGCGCCTTTTCTCTCAGCTTCACTGGGTCTATTCAATATGTGAGTTTTCCTTGACTGCCATGAGGACCTTCCTGCTTGCTCTTACGGAATGTCTCGGGTGCGAGAAACACGATGCAAACAAGCATGAATGCTGCCCATATAAGTAGAAACTGCCAGTGCCCAAAAGTCAGACAACGTACACCAGGTCCACGCCACTATGCATTTTGGGGACTCACATAATATGTCCATCGCCAATGCGTATTGGCGTTTATGAAGCCTCCGATTAACGGACCCAGGCTAGGGCCTGCCTCATCGTGAGCCCGTGGAAATAAACCAGCGTACAGGACTTATTCTGGGTAGCAAACTCACCAATGAACGGGCTCAGTGATATGATAGTCATTGGCCCCTGGATAGCATCCCTTCGAAAAACGTCACTCACAGTCCCCCCTGCGACGCTGAGGAATGCACTGCCGGCAAACCCATCGAAGAAGCGTGCCTAGACAGCAGAAGTATCAGCATGGACTTGAGAGCATATAGCTAGTTCCACTCACCACGATCATGGTTTCGGCATTCTGGGCGACGGCAGATGGGATGATCCATATGGTGAACATGGTCCTGGACTAGTGTCAATTTACGCAATTTGTGTGTGTGTGTTTTTCCCGGGTCGGTGTATTACCACTACAATGACGTGTTAGAAATTGACCTCTCATAGGGATAAATTGAGTTGAAAGTAGCTCTTCCGAGCACTTGGGCTAGGTCTGTTCTCTTTCAACATCACATCCGAAAATGTTTACTCATAGAACATCCCAGACAAGGAGAGAAGTGGTATCGGCAGTTGCTTACTGAAACAAGGTAGATTGGTCGCCGGCCATAAAACTCACTCAATGGGCTCATCAAGAGAGGCCCCAACGCGACTGCATGGTTCAACACCGGGTTAGTGATTCTCTGTCTGGCAGTCCCCCGGGGGTCTTGACATGGGAATATGGAATACACACTGCCCAGGACGAACGTTGACAAACCGAGCGTCCCGACTATGGTGGAGATATCAAACTCTGGGTTCATCTGCGAATATGTCGAGGTATAGATGGAGCTTGCACATGTTCTATAAATCGAGGGGGGTTATCAGCGGCTGCTCTCCCTGGCGGTCTGGGAGACACCATATCTCCCACGGGACGAGCACTTACACGCATAGACTTCCAAAACCCACGATCAGAACGATGGTCCACTTATGTAGCAATGACATGCTCCGCGGACAGAATGGATCGTTGTCACCATCCCAGGACACCTCAAATGGATCCTTGCTCGAGCCGTCAACCCGATCAAGGGCCTCGGTCTCATCGGCACTGTCGTCCAGCTCGGCACATCCATGGCCATTATTTGAGCGTAGGCGACCGATGCTCTTGGTTGAAGTTGCGGACTGAGCCCTCGATAGGGTATTGCGACTGCGGGCTTCGGCCATGATCCGAAGTGGCTGGTAGTGACAGGATTCGTCCTGATCATCAGCAGGATCTGCTACAGCATCTTGTGAGATATCAATCTTCTCGATGAGATCAGACGTCGCAGCTTGAGCCGATGCCCGACTAGCGCCGGTGATATCACTGGGTTCCATGTTTCTGGATGCTTGTCATTCCAAGAATATATGTTTCAGACTATCTGTCTGTCTGTCTGTCTGTCTGTCTGTCTGCGCCTCTCTCTGTCTCTCTCTCTCTCTCTCTCTCTCTCTCTCTCTGTCTCTCTCTCTCGTGTGTGTGTGAGAGACAGCAAAAGAGCGAGAAATAAATAAAAGAAATGGTAAGCAAAGAGAGGAGACAGAGCGATGGCGATGACGATGAGGTGAAGTAGGAGCAAGTAACCGAAAAAAACTGCGTCGTCACCTGATGGGATGACACAAGAAGTGCTACAATGGCAGCTTGGACGAGAACGACGGCGACATGGTTGTATTATATAGGTTCACGGTTCCGGTAGTTGAGGACTTCTCGCTTCGATGACATCTGAGCGCGAGGCTCTCTCCTTCCGAAAGGACGAATATGGCAAGTGTCCAATGAGACTAGAAGACGCGATGCAAGGGGATTATTAAGCTCTGCATCCTACAGGTGCTACTTGCAGTCGGTTCGACGGGCAAGATTAGCTGCAGGATACCCATCTGGGATTAGAGCAATAAAGTAATGTAGGTACGCAGTGTAGAAATGCAAGTTTCCCCGTGCAGCAGAACCCCAGGCAGTGAGGAATAGGCAGGGTGCTCGAGCGGGCAAAAGGGCCATGTAGAAACATTGTCCCGCAAGGCCGTTGGACCATAATGTATGATGATGGTATTATTAACCCAACTCCCGAGTCCCGAGCAGGTAGATGGGTAAGCGATGTGAATTGCCCCACATTGATCTATTATACCCGTGTCAATCATCTACCTAGTTCGCTAGGTATTATTTGCGCGTTACCGCAAGACAGAGAGCTCATGCATTCTTACTAATCGACGTAATAAAACTCCGGCCTGCCCTGGGTACCTATCGTGTATGACTCAAACTTCTTTCCTCGCCCGGTCTTCGCGCAATGACAACGGGTAAACACGAAAGCTCCCTTGTTTACCTGAATGCTGGCTGGCGAACTCACGGGCCCGTCTATCGCGTTGCTCCTTTACCTCATGGGCATGGTCCATATATGCTCGAGCACTTTTGTCCTCCATTCACAATGGAGAAAGCCAAGACGATGCCGTCAAACAAATGACAGTAGAGTATGGTACGACGTCACGCTCGAGTCACCCACGGATGCGACATTGGAGGATTGTTCCGAGGCAACGTGAGGACGACTGAGAGAATGAAAGCAGCCACAACAATCAAATGCATTGATGCATTCCCGTCATGGTAGGTAGGTATGTACGCCTCGTAGTGCAAGGCCACTCGTCCATGTATATATACGCTGCGGAAAAGAAAGAAAGAAAAGTATGCCCGGTTGTTGTCCTACCCACCGGGTTATAAATGCTCTGTGGCCGTGATTTTATAATATTTGATTGGTTGGTTTCTTGCGACTGGGATCTAGTGCAGTGCACAGTAAGTTCATGTCCTCCAAAGTCGTCAACCCTGGTTGGTCCCACTCTTGTAACTTACGTCCGAAGACGGCCCCGGATCCTCCAAAATTTTTGGCTCGATCGGCCTCTGCCACCAGTCCAGTCATCAAGAGCTGATGGGTCATCAAACCACTTCAATCCCTCGCCCAATCCAGTCGCTTACAGTAGTAAACTGCAGAGAGACTCGAAAGAGAAAGTGAGGTCAGATCTTAGACCATACCAATCTACTACTGCGCTATTGTCGTCTCCCCAGTCTGTATGTATACCGACATTTCATAACCCCCCGTCCTCGTCCTCGTCCTCCTACTCTTGCCCACACTCTCTCTTTTACAGCTGTGAATCACAATACTCTCTTCTTGCCTTCTTCTCGTTCTCTCGTTCTCTCGTCGACGCTGCTGCTTTTCATCACGTGTGTCTGCTTGTGTGACTCAATCGTTGTGTATTCACATACACATTTACCTTTTATATCACAGTCTGTACTGACTTATATAACCCGCCTCCCAATTAGCATCGCTAGCCCAAGCTACAGACTGCTCCCTGCTTGGTGTCAATGCTGCGCGTAGAGCCCAGAACATCGTAGGCAAAGCCTGTCCGCCTCTTGTCAACGAAGCAGCCCGCCATGACGTCCCAACCCAATGGAGTCAATGGCCATACTGGCCCGACGCGCATCAACATCCTAGGCACTGACTCCATCGTCGTCGACCATGGCATCTGGCAAACCTTTGTCGCCAGCGACCTCCTCGAGAACATCCCTTCGTCTACTTATGTCCTGATCACCGACACCAATCTTCACGGTCGATACGTGCCCACCTTCGAGGCCTCTTTCCAAGAAACTGCTGCCCGCCTCGGCAACACCGAAAGCCGCCTCTTGACCTATACCATCCCTCCGGGAGAGACCTCAAAGGGTCGTGAGACCAAGGCCGAGATTGAGGACTGGCTGCTTTCCCAACAATGCACCAGAGACACTGTCATTGTTGCCCTGGGCGGAGGCGTCATTGGCGACATGATTGGCTATGTCGCCGCCACCTTCATGCGCGGCGTTCGCTTTGTCCAGGTTCCCACCACCCTGCTCGCCATGGTTGACTCCTCCATTGGCGGCAAGACGGCCATCGATACCCCCATGGGCAAAAACCTCATTGGAGCCTTCTGGCAGCCCAAGCGCATCTATATCGACCTCGCCTTTCTCGAGACACTCCCCGTCCGCGAGTTCATCAACGGCATGGCCGAGGTGGTCAAGACGGCTGCCATCTGGAACGAGACCGAGTTTGCCTTCCTCGAGGAAAACGCATCTCGAATCCTGGCCGCCGTCCGCTCCAAGACTGCCGACCCCTCTGAGAGGCTTCTGCCCATCCGACCTGCCTTGAAGCGCATTGTTCTCGGCTCTGCCGGCGTCAAGGCCGAGGTTGTCTCTCAGGATGAGACTGAGGGTGGCCTGCGCAACCTGCTCAACTTTGGCCACTCCATTGGACACGCCATCGAGGCTATTCTCACGCCACAGCTTCTGCATGGCGAGGCCGTCGCCATTGGAATGGTCAAGGAGGCCGAGCTGGCACGTTACCTTGGTGTTCTGCGCCCAAGCGCTCTTGCGCGCCTCGTGAAGTGCATCGCAAGCTACGACCTACCCACGTCCCTACAGGACAAGCGTGTCGTCAAGCTGACTGCTGGTAAGCACTGTCCTGTCGACGTGCTCCTACAGAAAATGGCTGTCGACAAGAAGAACGTTGGCAAGCAGAAGAAGATTGTCCTTCTCTCGGCCATTGGCAAGACCCATGAGCCCAAGGCGAGCGTCGTCGAAGACAAGGCCATCCGAGTTGTGCTCTCGCCCGCCACGCTCGTCGTGCCGGGTGTGCCCAAGAACCTCAATGTTGAGGTGACACCCCCCGGGTCCAAGAGCGTGTCCAATCGTGCTCTTGTCTTGGCTGCACTCGGCCGCGGTACATGTCGCATCAAGAATCTACTCCACTCGGACGATGTCGAGTTCATGCTGAATGCCATTACCCAGCTCAACGGTGCCACCTATTCCTGGGAGGATGCTGGCGAGGTTCTGGTGCTGTCTGGCAAAGGCGGTGCGCTCCAAGCCAGTGAGAAGCCGCTGTATCTAGGCAATGCTGGCACCGCTTCGCGCTTCCTGACCTCGGTCGTCGCCCTGTGTTCTCCATCCACGACAACTTCCACCGTGCTTACTGGAAATGCTAGAATGCAAGTGCGACCCATTGGGCCGCTGGTGGACGCTCTGCGATCCAATGGCGTGGCCGTCGAGTACCTCAACAAGGAAAAGAGTCTGCCCGTTCGCGTCAACGCCAATGGGGGTATCGAAGGTGGCCTCATCGAGTTGGCCGCCACCGTTTCTTCCCAATATGTCTCATCGATTCTAATGTGTGCACCTTATGCCAAGAACCCAGTCACCCTACGCCTCGTCGGCGGCAAGCCGATTTCGCAGCCGTACATTGACATGACAACGGCCATGATGAAGGCGTTTGGCATCAACGTCACACAGTCTGCCGATGAGCCGCACACTTATCACATTCCCCAGGGAACCTACGAGAACCCAGCAGAATACGTCGTCGAGAGTGACGCCAGTTCGGCTACTTATCCATTGGCAGTGGCAGCCATCACTGGAACGACATGTACCATTCCAAACATTGGCTTCAAGTCGCTTCAGGGCGATGCGCGCTTTGCCATTGATGTACTGCAGCCCATGGGCTGCAAAGTCGAGCAGACAGACTTCTCGACCACGGTTACCGGTCCTGCGCCAGGAACCTTGAAGGGCATCGAACACGTCGACATGGAGCCCATGACGGATGCTTTCCTGACAGCCTCGGTACTCGCTGCTGTAGCCTCGGGCACTACAAGGATCACGGGCATTGCCAACCAGCGTGTCAAGGAGTGTAACCGTATCGCAGCCATGCGGATACAGCTCGCCAAATTTGGCGTACAGAGCGGCGAGCTCGAAGACGGAATAGAAATCACCGGCAAAAACTATACGGAGCTGGTCGAGCCCAAGGGCGGTATCTACTGCTACGACGATCACCGCGTCGCCATGAGCTTTAGTGTCTTATCAGTCTTGTCTCCAAACCCAGTCACTGTGCTCGAGCGTGAATGCACCGGAAAGACCTGGCCAGGCTGGTGGGATGTCTTGGCCCAGTCGTTCAAGGTTGACTTGCTTGGTATAGATGCTGAGCCAGGCCACGAGGAGGCGCAGAAGCCCGACGAGGGTCCCTCCGTCTTCATCATTGGCATGCGAGGCGCCGGCAAGACCACCACGGGAGGTTGGATGGCCAACATTTTGAACCGGCCTTTCACAGACTTGGATACGGAGCTTGAGAGAAGGGCAGGCAAGTCCATTCCCGACATCATCCGCAGCAGCGAAGATGGCTGGGCACGGTTCCGAGAAGCAGAGCTGGATCTACTCCAGGACATTCTAAAGAACCAGTCCCACGGGCACGTTTTTTCGTGCGGCGGCGGCATTGTTGAGAGTGCCCCTGCTCGCGAGCTCCTGACCGCCTATGGCAAGAATGGCGGCGTTGTACTCCTTGTGAATCGCGACGAGGAACAAATCGTCGAGTATCTCCTGCGTGACAAGACCAGACCCGCCTACACTGAAGAGATCCGCGGCGTCTATCAGCGTCGTAAGCCGTGGTACCAAGAGTGCAGCAACCACGAGTATCACAGCCCGTACCTCGACGGCATCAGCGAGGCCCCTGCCGACTTCAAGAATTTCGTTAAGCTCATATGTGGGCAGAGCAAGCATTTTCAAGAAGTCAAGAAGAAGCAGACTTCCTTTTTTGTTTCGCTCACGGTGCCGAACCTGTCGGCTGCCATTGACGTCCTGCCGCGTGTCGTCGTCGGATCAGACGCCGTAGAACTCAGGGTTGACTTGCTGCAAGATCTCTCGCAAGAGTTCCTGGTCAACCAGTTGTCACTGCTGAGATCTACAGCCAAGGTCCCGATTGTCTTCACCGTGAGATCCAAGGACCAGGGCGGGCGGTTCACCTACCAGTCGGAAGACGAACTGCTCCCACTCTACCGGACTGCTATCCGCATGGGCGTTGAGTACATTGACCTCGAAATGACCCTGTCCTCTGAGACATTGGACGCCATCTCTAGCATCAAGGGCTCCACGCGCATCATTGCGTCCCACCATGACCCGAACGGTGCCCTGTCCTGGAAGAACGGCGGATTCCAGTCTTGGTACAACCGGGCCCTGCAGTACGGCGACATTATCAAACTCATTGGTGTGGCCAGAACCATGGACGACAACTTTGCGTGCAAGAACTTCCGGGACAGGATGGCTGCTGCTCACGACAAGCCCATTATTGCCCTCAACATGGGACCTACCGGCAAACTGTCTCGAATCCTTAACGGTTTCATGACACCCGTCTCGCACCCAGATCTGCCTTTCAAGGCAGCCCCCGGGCAGCTCTCGGCCGCGGAAATTCGTGCCGGGCTGGCTCTGCTCGGTGAGATTGAGGCGAAGAACTTCTACCTCTTTGGCAAGCCCATCTCGGCATCGCGTTCGCCAGCGCTCCACAATGCCATGTTCAAGCAGACTGGCCTGCCCCACAAGTACAGCTTGCACGAGACGGACGACGCCTCGACGGTGCAGGAGATCATTCGCTCACCCGACTTTGGTGGCGCCTCGGTCACGATACCCCTCAAGCTCGATATCATGAAGTACGTCGATGAGGTCACGGACTCGGCCAAGATTATTGGAGCCATCAACACCATCATACCCCAGACCACGGCCGAGGGGGGGGTACACCTTGTGGGCACCAACACGGACTGGATGGGCATGGTTTACACTCTTGGCAGGGCTGGCGTGAGCTCGGCGTCCAAGTCCAAGCCTGCGAGCGCCCTCGTGGTTGGTTCCGGTGGTACGACCCGGGCGGGAATATACGCTCTCCACTCCATGGGCTACAGCCCCATTTACATTGTTGCGCGCAACAGTCAGAGCGCCAACGATCTGTGCCAGTCTTTCCCCAGTGATTACGCGCTCGAGGTACTCACGGATGCCAGTCACGTCAAGGTTCTGCCGGCCGTCATAATCACGACGATCCCTGCAGACAAGCCCATTGACCCGGGCATGAAGGAACTTATAGGTACGGTGCTGCGCCAGCCCAACTCAATCAAGATGTCTCGGGTACTCTTGGAGATGGCGTACAAGCCGCAACATACGCCACTCATGGGCATGGCGGAGGACTCTGGCTGGCGAACGGTGCCTGGTCTCGAGGTCCTCTGCTCCCAGGGTTTCTATCAGGTAAGCCCCAGCAACGCTTCCAGCCAGTATTTGCTTTTTGCCTTGCGCGCCCTTTTCTCCTTGCGTTCAATGTCATGATTCCCGTATATTGTTTGTCAGGGCCAGTTGCTAACGAAAGACTTAGTTTCAATTGTGGACGGGCATTATCCCAGTCTTCTCCGATGTTCGCTCTGCTGTGCTGGATGTCTAGGTGGCATCTGCTGCAGTGGGGAGCGTGGCGAAGGAATGGAAGGCGCTGGATAGCCTCGGCGTATTTGCTTGCTAGACTATACAATGCTTACTTGTTCTGCTGCCTGAGGGGGCAGGGGGGGCCTGGAGATTGGGAAGGGCTTTGTTAGTTACATAGGCTGTGCAAATATAGTCAAATCTTTGTTTGACCCTTTTGAGGCTGGTCCGGCGCCTGTATACATGCGCTGGTTGGTGCATGCTCGTGTGTCAAGACAGGTAATACTCAGATCAAGTAGGTGCGTATGTGTGTAGCAATACAAGATGGAATTGCACGCTTTCTAACCCCAGTCATCACTTGAGAGTTGCGGAGCAATGTCCGGGACCACTCGACGAAGACGAAAAGGCAAGAGCCCCCTTAGCCAGTGATGATAAAGAGCAATAATTCGCGATAAATAGGGGCAAGGGATGGAGTATTGCCACAAATTTGTTTGCATGGTCGTTGATTTGATGATTAAAACAGTATATGTCTGAACATGCAGTCATAACAGGGGTGAGTAAGCAGCAGCACTAACAATATACAAATAAGTGTAACATGGTCTTGGGCTAAGCCACGATCCCCATCTACATACATCTACATACCTTGCATACATACATGGTACAATATGATTAGTCTATTCCACAATGAGTGCTGCGACATTGTAAAGATAAGATATGCCTTGTCAATATTCAACATCCTCCGCCACCTATAAGTGTCTTGCCTGTCGAGTTGAGAGGGAAAGGAGGGAACCAAGGAACCAAGAGAAAACACAGGCCGGCATGGAAAAATTGCTGATCTTTTTCCGCACAAGGCTGGCAGAAGTTTCCAAGTATAGCGAGTGGCGACCAGCAGGGCACGTGCATGCATGCTTGCCAGACAAGCATTCACTTCACACTCTTTTTTTTTTTTTTGTTCATAGAGTGTTGAAGAATGTGTAGATTGATTGGTCATGCTGCTCGCTATCTAACATGAACTGGACATCCCCGGGGAGATGATGGCACAGCGGGTGAAGATCTCTACCCTTTGTCTCCCTCTTGATGGCAAAGATCTACATGGGGTTTTTGCTATTGGAATCGCAATGGGCATCAAAACTCCATGGCTGGATGGTGGGCTTTTTTCACTTTGCCGACCAAGACACACCCTTTGGAGGGTGTTTGTTGATGTGTGCTTCCGACTGGGTATGGGAGGCAACTTGGACCCATATGCATGCATCGCGATTGAGTGACATGCTGTTCATTCACGTCACGGAATGGAGAGAAACTTTATCCACCACTGCCGATTGACTTAGGACAACCAGAGGTGATGAGTAATAAATAGTACACACCATTTCTTCTGCTTTTCTCTCTATTTCAGGCGTCCCATCATGACTGAGTATCAGCAAATTATGACCAAGGGTATCAATTGTTTCATATACTATCGCTTGTTGGGGTGACAGCGTTTTACTAATAATATGTAAAAAATCAAACTCGATTCTTTTTCTCCCCATCATGCCGCTTTTGTTTCCTAATATATGATACATTGCCTTCTCCGCATCTAGGATATATCCGCTCTAACGATATCATGACCTCGTAACCCATCATTTCTGCTTTTGTGTTTTTGGCTTCGCCGTCATCTAGTGGATGGAACTAATGTACTCTCAATGTGTGTGTAGTGGCGGAGGGTTGTACAATCTAGGTATTCCTCCCACAGCCAGGGATATCCACGAATAGAAATACAGGTAGTAGTGAAAGGGAAAAAAAAAAAAAAAGAAAAACACTGGCAATTTACATGAGGTGTGAGCGCCCGCTACACATCTCCCCACAACAAAACGCAACCATCGAGACAGCAAGGCTCGGGGCTCAATGCATGAGAACCTCAAAACCACAAGACGCAAAAACAGCAAGATCGCTTTCTCACACGACCGTATTAATCCAACCAGTTAAAAATAAAAGAAATAAATGGAAACAAACCCGAACAGGCGTAACTGGGGAGGAAGGAAAGACGACCCAAGCGTAAGCCACCAATTTAGCCAAGTAAGCCCGGTCGGGTGGTAATAATCATGATGTAGCCAAAGTAGGACGGGACCACAGTGCTGCTACACCACCATCCCCGATTCCCAAAAGCAACCGGATCCCGGGAGCAAAACCGACATTGATGATTGGAACGTTGAGGAGCATGACGAGGTTTGGCATCATTCCGCGTCCGAGAGTGTGGGTAGATGTGACAAGAGACGGTTCCTGGGGTTGGTGGGAATTACTCTAAACACGGCCCAGTGCGAGATGATGCAAGAACCTTCGTCAGAGTGCCGACTGATGATGTCGGTGGTGATGCCAATGTCCACAATGGAAGGGTGGGGAAACGGGAGCTGAAGGGATCAGCGCGATTCGAGACCACCGGATCTGACGTCATGGGAGCCGAACCGATCTGCCCACACAAAGCAAAAACAGCGGGGCAGCGAGGGGGTCGAGCCCAATGATGTGACGCCCCGCCGATCGATTACCCCATTCGAACACGTCCTGGCGCGGGACTAGTCAAAGTCCCTGCATATTGACGTCTGCTGGTGCTGGACCCTGAATTTGGCTGGATGGGTGTCCCGTCATCGGCCGTGTGTCGATTCGATCAAGAGGGGGGTGTGTGTGTGCACGCCCACGTCTGGTGTCTCCCTAAATCTGTATGCCATTTTGGATACACCCAATGAGCCATGTGTATCGCATGCAAGTGAGCCAATTGCTCCGTGCTCTCTACCCCCACAAAACAAACTAGATTGCATCCGAGGGAACTCCTCGTTTGCGGTGCTTGCCGGGTAGTTCAACCTCTGGGTGACACACACGATAGTGTCTGGTGAGAGCGTCGGCCCGGCTGAAGGTCTTCTCCTCGGTGCAAAGATCACAGCGCACCTTCTTCTTGCGGTTGTTGTGGATTGTATCCTCGTGGCGGGTCAGATCGTATGGCCGTGAAAAGACGGTGTTACACGGCTTGCCCGTGCTCGGGTTGATACGGTCACACCTGTGAGGGCCCGCCTGGCTGCCCAACAGCGAGTCTGGCACACCCGGCGATGGAGCAACTTGGGGACGTGTAGCTGCCGTTAGAGCATTGGCTTGGCGGTGGCCCTCGCGCTTGTGCTTCTGCAGGAGCTGTGGTGTCTCGAAACGTAGGGTGCAACCATGGTAGGTACACGTGTATGTTCCACCATCGGCCATTGTCCTCGCTGGCCTCGATACTGTGCCATCATTGCTAGTAGAGCCATTCGTGTCGGAAGAGCTCATTCGGGAAAAGCTAGACACCGATGGAGTAATAGCCTGCTGTTGCTGTTGGCGGGGCCGTGAAATGAAGGGATACTGTTGTGGCATCTGCAGATTTGTCGGCATGCTAAAGTCAAATGCCGTCTGCAGTGGTGTACGCTGCTGTACCTGGGGCTGATGCATCCGGGATTGCGGCTGCTGTTGCTGCTGCTGCTGCTGCGGCTGCATTTGTTGGGAAGGTGGCTGTTGATGTGTTTGTTGTTGTTGTTGTTGTTGTTGAGGAACCACCTTGCTCAACTGGTTCAGGTCAAAGTTGTTCGTCTCCTGCGGAGGAAATAGAGGAAAGTTGGATGCCTCGTCGATTTCAGCGAAGTCCAACATGGCGTCCTTTGGAGAAATAGTACTGGGTGTGCCCTGCTGCTGCCGGTTGGCACTGCGTGCTAATTGCTCCCTCAGGGCTTTAGCGTCTCGATCTTGCTTTTGTTTCTCTCGCATCTGCTGCGCCGAGTTTAGTCTAATCTGCGGCGCCGACGACTGCGATGAGAAGTCGTTGTGTGACGGTGCCAGCGGAGAGCCGTGACGAAAAGGCGAGTCGGTGCGTGATGAGCTCGATACTGGTGACTGCGCTGCGCTCAAGTGCTGGTTGTTGGCAAGTGCAAGACGTTCGGCAAAGACACCATTGTTTGGCGACATGGCTAGCTGCGCTTGCGGCTGTGGCGAAGCCGCGGTAATGGCAAAGTGCGGGCTGTACAGCTCGTCGCCGTAGACATCTGTCATGGTGCGATCAAGCTTGGGAGGGTTGGCACATCCTGTATCGTAATATGAGCTCAACTGTTCTTGTAACGCGATCTCTTCGGAGACGATCTCTGCTTGGCCATCACCATGAGCGGCTAGAGAGTCGAGTAATTCTTGGACTATGTGATCATGTATGCTTGAAGAAGGCTCACCATTTTTTCGTCTCCTCGTTTCGTCCTCGATGGGCTCGTGGAAGGACGGCGTGGCAGGCTGTGAGTCACCACCCACGGTGCTGCTCGCCACCGAGGCAGGGTGTGACACATCTGCAGAAGGTGCTAGACCTCGCTCGAACCTCTTTTGGGTGGAACTAGGCTGCTGCGATGACATTGCTGTCGTCGGAAGACTGTCTGCTGAGAATGACAACATGTCTGGCAGATTTTGAGTCTGCGAGCCCATTCCCTGGACGCTGGTATAGTAATTTTCTGAGCCCATGGGCTTGCCTAGTGAATACGAGTAGTTGCTCTCGCCTGTGCCGAGGTCGTGGAATGCATCACTCGAGTCGGTAATGGCAATATGTGGATTCGACGTCGAGGCATTGTACGGCGACGCGGGACCGTTTGAGTTCAGAGACGACAGTGACGACTCGCGGTTGTGTCCTAGACGAGCACCTCTTGGGGTGTAATGGCTGTCGTACCACGACGAGGCCTCGGCGGTGGACGGCATCAGGTCTGGTACTTGATTGAGGCCTTGGACGGCTGTGTTGTTGGTGTTCGTGGTAAATAGGTTTGCAGGTGGGAAGAGCGTATTCGATCTTAATGGGGCGCCGAAGCTCGTCGCAGATTGCAAACGAGGAGTGCTGCTGCTGCTGCTACTGCTGTTGTTGTTGTTGTTGTTGTTGTTGTTGGTATTGTACCTATTGTACGATGCGAGTGCCGACGCCTCTATGCTGTAAGGGTTATAGTAAATGTTGTTGTTATTGCTGTTGTCGTTGTGTGAGCCGATACCCTCGTTGAGGACAATGAGACCGGCGGCTCGTGGATAGTTGTGATTATTGTCGTTGTGGTTGTGGGCAAGAATCATCTTGTGTTGGAGGGGGAAAATAAAAAGATGATGATGTCTTTGATGGGAGAAAAGAATAAAAGATTAGTGTAGTAAGTGATGGTGTAAGTTGTAGAAGTCCAAGAAGTGGGGCTGGGCGTGGGGTGGCGAGATGGGAGGATACTTTATAGTCGATTCTACTCGAGAGCCCAGGGAAGAGGGAGATTTGGGGGGGGTGTGTGCAGATCCGCCTTTTTCCCACGGCAAAGCGCATGGACTTGTAATGCTTTTTTTTTTTTCCCTCCCTCCCGGGTGACTTGTTCTGTGTCCTTCCCACCCACCTATCCCCCTAGGTTTTTGCACAGCCGGACTACATACATTAAGACCGAGAAAACCGTTGAATGAGTTATTAGCAAATCCTTGTTCTTGGAAACCCTTGGAAAGTCGAGTCTGAAAGACTTTACTGATTACCTAAAAGCTCCCTTATGGGGGCTCCCTCGGCCCTTTCACCATCCGGTCATGTGGTCTCTTCTTCTTTTTCTTCTCTCTCTTTCTCTCTTCATTGATTGATTAATTGATTGGCAAATGTGCGAGGTGTCTTTGTTTTTGGCTCTGCTGCTGTTACTACGATGATTACTAACGCACTATATGCCACTGTTTCTATCGTGATCATGATACGATGTAGCAATGGTATGATGACAAAACGACATCGAACAGTAATCCATGGATGGCCCGTGCCAGAACACAGCGACGCATGATGCATTTCACGCTACAAATAAATATAGCAGCAGTAAATGTACGCAAGCCATGATACTGCGAAGTGCTTTCCGGTGCATTCCGATCGGCTTATTGGGTTTTTAGTGACCTGCGTCCCAAATGACTGACTCTCTGTTGCTTTTCTCCGTGGTCAATAAGCTTGGCTTGAGCCCAGAAGGGTGTGGGACGGAGAGGGCGTGAAGAAGGGGACGAAGACCGGAAAAAAAAAAATGACGTAGTTGGATGGACATGGGTAGTACACCCAGTGTGTGCACCCACCATTGGGAACCCTCGCGACGGTGGACGGACGACCAGTCTCAAGCTTGCAAAGCTGGGGCTTGATGATGTCTGATTAGCTACCTTAGTACCTATGGCTGCAGTGCGACGTAACACTCCAGCATCTACACGGTGTGCAGGTACATCATCGCCTACATCACTACACCTCTGTGGATAATGTATGTAGTGAGGGGCATAGAAACCTTGTTCCGCGTGCCCTGCCTGGGCCCCCGGGCCCTTCTTGGACCCTGAATCCGAACGTGGTAACGAGGAGAAAAATTTTATGCTTCTTCTCCCACTTCCGCTTTCGCCGATAAATGTATGCAGGCAGGTAGGTGGATGAATGCATTCACATACTGTAGTACTATCTTGCCCAGAGGTTTCCGGGTCTCCACCCAGCGCCGGAGGACTATTGCTTGATTGGAAAAAGATGAAAGCAAAAAACTTGGTCATACAAGTTTCCTCGAGTTGCTAGCTAGGCTTTGCAAACCCTCCCAACATTACAAGGTAGGTAGCGAATCTCGTATACCTTGGAGGAGGTCAAGCGAGTGAGCTCTTCCTGACGCGAATAGACTGTGGATATCTACATGCTGTGCAGGTAGGTAGGGCGACGCACTTGACGCATCGTATACAAGGCAGCTGATTAATGCCCAGCGAATTTAATGTCATGTCTACCTTATCTACCAACCAACTAGTGCACGTAGACCTGCCTGCCGTTCCTGAGTTCCAGTCACCACCGCCGCCCCTGGCCATGATTGACTGAGCCCCGAGTTCGAGCCTGGACTCCTGGTTGGGCGGGGGGGAGACATTGTGGATTGGGATTGGGATACGTATACACAAGAGCTGGAGATCGTGTGCCCCCAGTCACTGTCTCTGCCATCGAAGCCCTGCGATCTCATTACTAGTGCCGGCCCCGTAAGCCGCGGACTTGGATTTGCTGGTTTTGGCTCTGGTCGCGTCGATCATCCATCGCCCTCGTAAATCGATGCAATTGCGGGAATGCTCTACTAGAGTCTAGACACTGCTTCCATTGCCCTCCTGCTGGGAGCCAGGAGCACTCTCGCTCTCCAAGCTACTACGTATGTGTATCTATCTCTACACAGAATTTCCCAATGCACTGCCACACACCATACGCACACCACCAGGCGACCCGCCACAGACAGCCAGAACAGCATGAAACCCATCCATCCTCGCTCGCCAAACTCGCTATAATATACAAGCCACATTTGGCCTGTTTGTAGCGTACCTAGTGCAGGTTAGGCAATGTGAGTCTGGAACTGCCACCCTTGTTCTTTGTTCTCCGACTTTCCGAACTCGAGTCTGGTGCTCAACCCTCAGTCGGGTCGACACGTATTGACCAACTTATACGGTAGTCACATGAGCACTTGTTTTTTTTTTTTTTGTGTTGAAATCCGTGACTCTGGCGGGGATGGGGTCCAGGGGAAAATGGAAGCCTATCCCCATTCCCATGCCAAAACGAGGGTCTGTCTAACCATAGTAGCTATGTAGCACGAGGCATGTAGTATATTCTAGGTAGTCTACGGCGCTTTGTAGAGGTGCCTTACATAACCCAAAGGCGTCTACTGGTCTGTCCGGGGCCAGCCCATTAAGGTACCACGCATCAAACAAGGCCTCCCCCGCCAAGGACGGGAATACCGCAAAAGTGCAGCTCTCAGCCACAACCCCTCATTAGGCAGTTATATCCCAGAGTTCATTCTATGAGTGCGGTAGTACCCGACATGGGAAACCCAAAAGTAGCTTAACTGTACATTATTGAAGATTACTCACGACTGACTCACTGCACATCCCCAGACGGCAAAGACGCTCTGCAAAGCCAACATGATCTAATAATTTACCTACCAAATTAGACATTACAGAGTGTGGTAAGCAATATACATACCTCGCATGCTTGGTGCACACACTAGATGCAACGCTATAGTTAAGGTAGATAGATCATGCACCTCGTCCCAACGATACCCGCTACCGTTGATTTTGGCTTTGATTGTTTTTGTTTTTTTGTTTTCTTAAAAAGCCCTCTTAACTATGATGACTCCTTCAAGTGTTGTGACCCCGTTCAGCTGACATCCACACGCAAATGGATCTCTTGAGTCTACGCCGGGAAGATTCATGCCGATGATGTTGTCGTCCTGGCGTGACGCTGCTGCTAGCTATTGGTCATTGTGGGCAGTCAAACCACAAAGTCAGGTTACATTGCCCATGGAAATCTTTATTTCTCCGTGTTTGCTTGTTCGCAGCCACCGGTCTGTTGAGAAAGAAAAGAAAAAGAAAGGCATTCTCATAAGCACTTCCAACATACATCAGCCCAGACGCGCAAAATCTCAAATGTCCATAGGTAGCAATGGGATACCACATACCTGGAATTGGACATTGCGCCAAGGAGCCCCCAGGTCGGGTTGGCGGAAGTGCATTAGCGGCGGGGGTACCGGCAGCACAGGCAAGAGTGTATGCTGTCTCTCCCCTCGAGATTGCTACATAGTATCTCCCATGATTTGCCAGGAGGGCTCGGGTTCGCATTAGCTGCAGGCTGACCTGACTGACCTCGGCCCAGGGTCCGGCCAGTTGCCAGTCCACGCTTGTGTGGCTTGTTTCTGTACGGCAAGAATTTTCTTGTGTACAGACGACGTTCCATTTCCATTCGCGGAATTGTCATACGGATGCCGAAGAGAGCGAGCAAGGGTTGTAAAGACGACTGCCGGCTGAGCGGAATCGCTGTCGGCGTTAGTGTTGAGTCATGTATACTCTTCAGGCAAGTGGATATGTGATTACAGTAACTCCTCGGACGCGACACCTAATACCCGACCGACGCATCCATACCTATACTGTCGCATTTACTCATCAGCCGGAAGTTCCATATCACATACTGCATACTGCTCCTCGTCCAAAGGTCCAGCCACTAAAATCAGACTAGAAATTTGCTGCCTGTATCGTCTCCGGGTCGGCAAGTGAGTAATCAACCGTGTATGTATCTAGCTACCCTTTTGCTCCAAACCAGGACATCCGACTTTCGGTCAACACAAAGGGAAAGAAGAGTTTGGGCCGTTCTAATCCTGCCTGGCCCGAGGAGAAGTTGAAGGAAAGTTGTCTCGGATGACAAAGCTGGGCTTGGTAGGCTTGGTAGGCTTGGTAGCAGCTTTACGGAATACCTTGCTACATGCCTCTAGTGTAGATATTCTGATGGGCGGGACCTGCGACGACGGGCTGAGCGACGGGCGGCCCCGGAGAATGGGAATTTGGGGAGAGGCCAAGCGAGAGCACTGGAGCGCGAGGGCGGGAACTCGGGGAGTGGTGGGGCGGGCAGGTTCGGTTTGGTTCTGTCCACTGATGATTAGGTATTTTGCCAGTCTCAACACTGGGTACGTAGTACATATTCCGTGTACCCAACATGCTTTGTTAGTAATCGTGCGGCAATGGCAGCGGAGTGGCTGTGCCGCACACAACAACGTGGGATGATGATCGGCCTTTCCGCAACTTGTCCATTCATTCTCTCTTCTGAGCAGTACCTAGCAGCTAGCTAGCTTGATTCACTCTTTTCTTTTCTTTTTCCCCTCCCCCTCCCATGCGTCTTACCCCTTGCATGCCCCATTGCCATGTATCTGATAAGATCTAGGCCATTATATTCTTTGCTCTGGATAGGTCGATTGCTGCAGCTGACCAATAGTGTATAGAGGTATGTAGGTCTATGTGCGGACTGCAGCTGTTCTTGTCCAAACCAGTCCAGACCCGGCGGCGTCATTTTGCAGTGACTTGAGCGAGCGAAGTAGCGAGCAAACCGAGGAATAATGTTGACCCAGTACGGAATTCCAAATATAGTGCCTACGTATTTGGAATACCTTCACTGCATAGTATACGTACATTGCCCAGATCTCGCACAACCAGTAGGCGAGTGCGGAGCGAGCACATTACACACTCTTGTGTGACTGAATGATCTCTCTACGTATCGGACGCTTCCGACATGGGGAGGCAGAGAAGACATATCCTGCCAAGGGCATAGCAGCATCTCGATGAGCTCCTTTGGGCTGGTGCTGAACACCCTTCGAGGTTGGAGGTAGCCAACGTGAGCGAAGAAGAGCATCGCCCTAGATAGATTCTTGAATGAGTCCACAGATTTGTCTCCCTGCCCTTTTTTTTTCTCCCCCTTTTGCGCTCTTCGGCAGCGGCACATCTACGGGAACGCTTGTCACTGGGTGTATGCACGTCTAAATTGTGGGGCCACTTTGCCATCTCTGCAAGATGCGACCGACTGGAGGCCAATGAATGCCACTTGTTCAGCGTCGTCGACAGAGAACACAGCCACACTTGTACCCGTGATGCATGACTACCATAACATCAAAACCAATATACCGTGATGACTAACCTTCAATGAATGTCGCCACTGTTGACTCCCCTGGCTGGAAATCTCAATTCTATATGCGTTTGCCGGGTTGGCTAGGACCTACATACCAACTAGTAGTGTGGCGCACACTCGATATCAAGCAAGACGCTATCTTGATTGGATTCATGTAAACGCTGCTTCTACAACCGGCCAGGGCCATGTTTGGGGAGAACGGCGAGATTCTGTTGGTCCAGGATCGAGATCTGCACACCATAGAACTGAGCAACAACATGTGCTGTCCATCTTTGAACGACATTCAGTATTGTATGCATCGTCTCTTGACGGCTGAGTTGACTTTAGCCCACGCCGCCTTCACTTTACACCATGCACTCGCAACACATCCAGCTGCCTGCTCGGCTGGGAAATACATGGGGTGACGAGGCTTTTGCCCCCTATACTTGGCATTGCAGATTTCCATCTGTGCAACCCGCACCATGTGTTGGTGTCTTGTGGTTCCAGTTACGCTGATACATGGAATGGTTTGCTCCGGGTTGACAATCCAGGTACTTCAACCATGAGTCCTTGTCCGGAGGCCTCTTCTCGTCGTCGAGCCAGTGGTGGCTGCATTATACCTCGCTGGATGATGGTCGATGAAGGGGGAATCCAGACTAGTGTGTGTAACTTTTTGGATTTACCATCTGACGTATCGAGATTTGATAGTTTGGTTTTACGCATTCCTTCCTTGGTGTATAGAGGAAACAATCTTCTTCATCAGAAGCCCACCTCCATCTTACTAAAAGTCAACACCTGTGATGGCAATTCCACGAGCTTTCCATTGTGCCTTCTCGAGACTGGCGTTAATCAGCCGGCGAGGTCATTCTTCATGTGCCAATGAGCTCCATGTACTTGCTAACGACTCGTAATATCGAAAAAGGTGCCCTCTGCTGTGATGTCCAGCCAGCACTGACTGCAAGTCTCCGTCCCATGTGTATGGTCTTATACCACCAGCATTGTTGATTAAATAAATGAACCTTAGATGCTCAGGTCAGCTCCATCATGACTGTCAACTCTCGCATTACTTTCGTGAATACGCATAGAACAAACCCGGTTGGTCATATAGTCAACTGCCTTCAGATATATGGGGGAAAGACGAGACAAGATTCGGATCCTCATGTAAACGCTGGCCAGGTCCTTCCCACTTCAAATGTTTTCGTCACCGTGGGTTTGGTTGTACGACGTGTACCTCCAATGCTCTTCTCAGGTTGTAAAGGCCGCTGGCTTTCTTTGTTGATCATCCGCTGCATCCTTTGCCCGATAATCAAAGGACGAGGCAGTATCACCAGGCCTGCGTCTAGTCGCTTCGGACATCGCGCGCGCAAGGGCAAATCATCACATGAAGGACAGGCGACTCGCTCATTAAGTCCAGGGAAGTTTACCAGCAAAGCCAGGTTGGAACCAAGCACCATCCTGCGATTTCGCCGAGCCAACTCGATCTAATTACAAGGAAAAGAGTTCACCAAACCCCGATATACCTGTTGACTGCTTGATCCATGGAGCTGTAGTATTCTGTTGGTGATAATATACAGCTAATGAAATGCCAATGAATAAAAATACCGCAACGGTGGAATGGCATATTTTCATATACAGCAGCTTGAATTTTGAACAAACCTCGAATGAAAACAAGTAAGATCACATCACAAACAGCCGCGTCTGTACATAATACTCACGTTGTTTGTTCAGTAGCACGGCCCATGTCAAGTATCAGATCTCCTCGGACAAGCATGCGATTATATTCCTGGTAGCATCGACCTACTCTTTGATCATGACCCGTGATCTATCATCAATCTCGGAGATGACGTGACATGAAGACGGCCGACCTCGTGATCGCTTCACGATGACTTCGGTTCCAGGACCGGAGACATACATTCGCTCTCACGTGTTTTTTGAAACTTCTCTTCCCATGGTCAAAGGTACGCAGACAATACGTTGCGCCTCAATGCCGGGTGCTTACCGATGATCTTTAAGCACGGTGACATTTGCTCTAATGATTCGACGAGCCACCTTTAATGAGTACGAAACATATTCACGGTCGGTGCAAAGACTGGCCGATTGTTACCGTGGAAAAAAATACTAGACCTAAAATATTTCGTCATTTTTCATCTCCAGCATATTAAAAGCAAAGCGTCACACGCTGACGATGGTGCGTCCACATTCAGCAACAAGCAAGAGTCAATAACCCAAGTCAACCAATACGGACATGTTTCTCATGACTTGTCTTTGCAAGGACGTGTGTATGCTTGGCCTCGCAAGCGTATGACCTGAGCCGTCATAGTAACCCGTGAGAAAAATACTTGCAAAGAGGCACATTCAACCCAAGTGACACCAATCTGGGATTGGGGGCTCAACAAAGTGCACACGATGTAAGAAGTTGAGCAGTTGCAACGTGCGGCACCACGACGGAGACGAGATACCACCTACGTCTCCTAAAGGAACCATAGCATTCAAGCTTTATCTAGGTGAATATATTACGAGAACAAACTTGAGTGATTTTGATTGCCAAAGCGAGACATTGTTTCTTGCAGCACCAAAGAAGAAAGAATAGCCCGAGAACCATAACACATTTCATATCTACTGATCAGATTATATCAAGCCTCAAGTACTATGCTTGGAGGAGAGGTCCAAGAGAAGCCAGGGAATTGCAAGGCTAGACTTGTGATTTAGAATGACGCGGACGCGTCCAGATCTAGACTCGAGACACAGACGCGACCAAGATCACAACACAGCCAGTTGGTCGACATGCCTGTACGTATGCTACGCCAAAGAGCCAGGGGGAAAAAAAAGAAGAAAAAATTTGCACACCATTACGTTCATCCCCAGCCAGCTAGATAGACAGGCAATTGTACGGCATCATCACATGGCAAAAAGATTGGACAAGTTGGTTGGTTTGTTCTCAAATGTCATTTGTCGGATTGATTATGCCTCGTCGGACAATCCTTATAGTTGACCCCCTTTCCCTGTATGGTACATTGATTTCAGAACACCCAAAAGCAGAACCCAATCCCATGATTCATCATGACCAGTCACTTATGTTGATGAAGTGTGACACCTTCGCGCAAGAAATGACATCGTAACAGACGTGAAACCACAAAACCAATAGACACCGTTCGACAATGTGCAAACGCTTAACCACCGAAACCGTACAGGGTGCGGCCCTGTCGCTTCAGAGCGTAGACAACGTCCAACGAGGTGACGGTCTTGCGCTTGGCGTGCTCAGTGTATGTGACGGCGTCACGGATGACACCCTCGAGGAAGGACTTGAGGACACCACGGGTCTCCTCGTAGATCACTGAAAGAAGGGAGACACGTCAGTATGACAAGGCAGGAGATGGAATGGATGATGCAAAGCCGAGGTCAAGGACTTACTAGCAGAGATACGCTTGACACCACCACGACGAGCGAGACGACGGATGGCGGGCTTAGTAATACCCTGGATGTTGTCACGAAGAATCTTTCTGTGGCGCTTGGCACCGCCCTTGCCAAGACCCTTGCCGCCCTTGCCGCCTGTAAGAGAGAAGACGCGTCAGTATGGGGGTTGTTTCTTTTGCGCGAACGCGTCCTGTTTGTGTGTATGTTTGCGAGAGGGAGTAGGTGAGGGGTGATGGTGTGATGGCCCTGAACCATGCACAGATTCTAGGTAGGATAGGGCAAGAGAGAGGATGGTTACTCACGTCCAGTCATTTTGTATGTGGGAAAAAAAGAGAGTTGTGGGGTTTTGGGGGGTGGAAGGGATTGAGGCTGAAATTGTACGCTTTTGGGATGGAAAGTCGTCTGTTAGATGCAATGGGAGAAAGGCAGTTGAACGTGGGGAACTCGACGTGTTTAAGTATCGGCAGGCTGAGCGGCAGGTTCAAATCGAATCAGCCCGGATGTGGAGCTGCGGGAATCCACGCTAGTGCAGCAAAGCGCAGACAAGTGGCAGCATCTAGGTACCCACCACCCATAAGAGACGCGTTCCAAATGCTCCAAATCGGGAATGACAAGGGGGGAACAAAAATAATAACCATCATCAGTCGAGTTCGATTTTCATCATGTGGTCAAGGATGGTGGATAAGGAGGGGAGAAATTAAAAAAAAAAAGACATACACACACACACTGACATACACAAACAAAGAGTGGATGCCACATAGCCAAGGACCCAGCCAACCAAGGCATTTGATTTGACCATTATTCAAACTTGGTCTCTGGGACTTTATCTGGGAGCCGATTTTTACTATTTGGCACCATTTCCTATCTTCCAAGAGCTTGAATCGCAAGCACATCAATCATGTACGTAGTAGTAGTAGTAGCGGTACTCTAGTCAGCACAGTATGAAGTCTTGCTTAGCCGTCTTCACCAGGCAGCAGCAGCACCAGGCATTTCGCCTATCCAAAACTCTATTCCAACCTGAGGCTATCCACATCTGGGTTTTGGACGTTGAGTATTCAGCCAATCACCCACTTGCGTGATTGCTCTCGTGTGCCCCCTCCATACAGTATCCGTGATCTTACATCACTCATTCCATGGTCCATCATTTAATGCTTGATGCATGCACGTACGTAGTACGTTGTATCGATGGTTAACACAAACTAGTGATGATGCCGCCCGCAAGTGGCAAACTTGGAGTTGAATATCCGGGGAAGTTGTGTGTAGTCATAATTTCCATGCTTTCCCGTCACACATGATTTTCCACACAACATGCGTACTTATTTGTAGTCTGATTACTTTTTTAGAGTCCAAGGTGTATATCCATCATTTGCAACTTTTCGGTTATCATGTTTATTTGTGAGGCATTACGTGTCTATGCAATGACACTTTTCATGTCCCCAGCCTCATGTACCTTGGCTGCCCAGTTTAAATTCAGACAAGGAAGGATATGTATGATTCACCCATAAAAAGATGTTAGCAAGGGAGCTTTCTTACAAATGGACAAATTCAAACACCAAGATTAATTAATTTAAGAAATATAAATAATAGGCAGCCTCACCACTACTCAGCTAATGTACGTATTTATGGATGTAGACATATTTCAACGGTCGGGATCGGCTTCCCGGCTTTTACCCAATCTTAGGCTCTTTTCCCCGGAGGATCCATCGGTGCTATGCCCGATCCAAGTTTCGAGGAAACACAAAAAAAAAAACAAAAAAACAATACATCTCAGCAGGCTAGATTTTAATATCACTGATTCCGGAGAGGCGAATCTTCATGGATCGCATAGGGCGCCCATGGGTGCCTTGCATTTAGTTTATTTTATTGGGCCAATCACAAAAATCACAAGGCTTCGATAGGTTTCGGGTTCCACTTGACGTGACTTTTGCTGGATGTTCGAATGTACTTTTTTCTTCTTCCCTCTCTCTCTCTCTTTCCTTGTGTGTTAAAGTGCCCAGGTGAATGCTAGCTTACTAATAAGTAGGTACGTATGTACATTATAATATCAATAATTTATTTTATTTTAATTCGCTTTACCAGTGAAAGGACGCGCATTAAGAAAAGATCGAAAGACAATCTAAGAGGGGCGCCCGGGTCCTGGGTACACTAGCGCTTGTCCCCCCTCCAAGAAAATCCCCGCCTAAGTCAAAGCAACTTTGTTGTCAGAAACGCACCCCTGTCTGCCCGTAAAATCAACTCTTCTTTTTTTGCATGTTCAAGAAGGCACTAGCGCCAAAAAATAAATCCATTCAAGGTGCAAAAAACACAATCAATCAGCCGCCGCCGCCCCCCCTTAGGCACCTTCCTTGACCTCTGCTGCACGCGCGCAATCAGCAGCCATCAGCCCGCCCCCGTTTCTCACATATTTAACACTTCCCCCGCACCCACCCCGAAGCCATTCTCTTTTCATCATCTTCATCACCAATCCGCATCCACATACAAAAAAAAAGCATCCATTTCCAGCTTTTTTCCATCCACACCCATCAACCCCCAAATAACACATCCCATCAAACAAACCATCAATCATCACAATGGCCCGTACCAAGCAGACCGCCCGTAAGTCCACTGGTGGCAAGGCTCCCCGTAAGCAGCTCGCCTCCAAGGCTGCTCGCAAGTCCGCCCCGTCCACCGGTGGTGTCAAGAAGCCTCACCGCTACAAGCCCGGTACCGTCGCTCTCCGTGAGATTCGTCGCTACCAGAAGTCGACTGAGCTCCTGATCCGCAAGCTGCCCTTCCAGCGTCTGGTAAGTTCTTGACACAGTCATTCATTTCACACATGGTGGCCTGCCTTTCGCAGTTGCGGCTCGTTTGTCCTGCGCGCACTCTACATTGCCGCGGTCGCGACGCGCTTTGAAAGGCAACCACGCGCCACCCCACATCCATATCCACACCTGCAAACAACAACAACAAGAAGACGCGGCTAACATGATGCTTTCCCTTCCTACAGGTTCGTGAGATTGCCCAGGACTTCAAGTCCGACCTCCGCTTCCAGTCGTCTGCCATCGGTGCTCTGCAAGAGTCCGTCGAGTCCTACCTCGTCTCCCTCTTCGAGGACACCAACCTGTGCGCCATCCACGCCAAGCGTGTCACCATCCAGTCCAAGGACATCCAGCTCGCCCGCCGTCTCCGTGGTGAGCGCAACTAAGTCATGCCTACTTTTACGTGGTGCATGATGAGGGGTCGATAGCGAAGGAAAAGACGTGTCACTTCATGATACTCTACACATTGGGATGCTTTGACGACTTGGGGTTTCTACAGGGCAATGGTAATCATGGCGTTTTTATGATGCGGTTGTTTTTCAGAGTGACAAACAGCACTCTTGCATGGATTTGTTGTACATCAGTCTAGGCGAAGTGGGACAGACCACCGCAGCGATACTGAACAAAGGAATGACTTGAACAAAGAACAAAGAACAAACCATCTACCTGTTTTCCCATGCTTACTCTGTGCATGCCCATGCCCACGATTTACTGGTGAACATGATGACTCCTCGCGACTGAGACTGACCCCCAAGAAGAAAAACGCGCTTGGCAGGAAGAAACCGGCGCGTCTATGGTGTTTGTAATGAATAAATCATCTCCACTCGAAATTCGCGCTGCTCGCTGCTCGCTGATCCGACCTCCAGTGCTTGCCAACTGCGACGCGCGCTCACATCTGTACCTACCAGACTGGACGGATTTTGGGACTAGCTATGTGAGTGAGGGGGGGTTGAAGGGGCGGGCCATTTGTAAGACCGCGGCAGCCCAGAGAGCCAACAACGACATGAAAGCACCTATTCTTGACAAATTCTTCGCCCAAATAATCATCCGCGATGCAACAAGATATGCCCTGTATTTGTAGCTCTACATTCCACGTGCATAATGGCAAGATTGTACTACAGACCTTGGGACAGACTCGGTTCGTTCCTTGCACAGACTGTGCAGGCAAAGGGGCAGCCCATCATCATCATCATCATCATCATCATCATCCTGATCGTTGTCGTCGCCTTCATCATTACAACCATTGTTCTTATTGCTACATCTGCCCGGGTGTTGGCTTGGGCGCCCCGCGTTTGGTCTTTGTCCCCGAAAAACCATGTCAGTCAAGTCTCGGTGCTGGAGGCCGTAATTCTGTTGACTGGCTGGCTGGGCTTCAGGTAGGTAAAGAAGAGACAAGGTAGGTGGTACTACTACAAAGGTGGGAGGTTCCCCAGCTGCGACGGTCGCGGCCCCATTAATCGGCATTTGAACAACAAGCAGATTGCCTCTACAAGCATATTGTCTACGTAGACAAAGTTCCCTACGGTGAAAGGATGCCATTCTGGAGCCAGGCAGCCACCACCATAGTCATTACATTAGTCTACAAGGTTCGACTACATGCCATGGAAACAGAAATAACTACTGCATCGCGGCTTGGATTGGGGAAAACCAAACCCCCCCCCCCCACACCTAAAAAAAAAAAAAAGTCACCAGAGTGCATGCTCACTCGCTCGACTTTGGGACATGAGAACCCTCTGTCGGGAAAACAGATTCTGGCCATGGCTGTGTACAACGTACTTACATTCTTCACCAATAACCTTGCGCACCGATCGCAATAACCTTGGTGGACTTACACCTCGCATTCCTTGTTCCTTAGGCGGTGGCAGCTGCACGTCAGAGAACTTTGTTTACGTGCAACATTGATGCGCCCAGAAATCGCAAATCAAAACCTCCCAAATCATCATGTCAGTCTGACATGGACAACTTGCTTATAGATTGACTCGGTATTTCCTCCAATATTCCTGTCCATCTGTCTGTCCATCTCTGCCTCACTCGTGATGCACAAACCTAAATCATTGGGCCAACAAGCCACCATTAAACCACATTAAGCGTGCCCGCGTGTACTTGTATGTACACATTGGCTGCAACTTACGTGAATCTAGGTACACAGCAAGGTGCCTGCCTGCCCATATTATTTACATACCTACTGCTCATCACAGTACCCTCATACATCATGGTTCAAACCTTGAAGGCCTGCCCTAGATCTTCATCAATAGATCGATCATCTCTTCCCGACATGGGGATTTCAAATCGTACAAACAAAGGGTGTTTATATAGAAGATGTCGGCGGCCAGCAACCACACCGCAGCGCAAATATGGCCTCAAGTGTCTGTTACAGCCTGATCAATTTTCAATCACATGCATGAGTGCACACCTTGACGGAACTTGGTGGTTGACGTGCAAAAACTAATAATAATAATTCCCCATCACATCCGTCATTACGCCACAGCAGATGATGACTGCCATCGTTCTACGTATATACATCTATCAAGGGCTGACAGATTGCAGCGAAACCAACAAAAGTCATCCAAGTCACCCAGGAAAACAACAACCCCAAACTCCTTTTGTCGTTTTCTTCTGCTTCTCCCCCCCCTCNCNCNCNCNCTCTCTCTCTCTCTCTCTC